GAGTGAAAAGGGGCGGGGCTTAGGGAGGTTCGATTATATTGACGACAGCTTATTTATCTCGTCAGGACTGTTTGAGTTTGGACTGACTGAAATCTACGTCATCGTCAGCTCCCTTCAACCAGCAAACTGAAGTGATAACAGAACGACTGAAGGGCCTTTAACTGGAAGAAACTGGAAGAAACTGGAATGGGTGTAGCTTTGTGGATAAATGTGGGATATTAAACCCCATCAATAAGTCTGAGGAAGGTTTCTAAATCAAAAGGTTTCGCTGCCTCGCTCTGGAGCTCCGACAGGTCCGGACAGCTCTGTTCAACCCTGCAGGAGATAAGATGACTCAGCTTGATAAAATCTCTGACCTCGCGAAAGTAGATCCCACATGCTGCTGTTTCACCTGAGCGACTCCGACTCCGGGCAGCTTGATCCATGGTTCTCCTCCACCCTGGGGGTCAGGGCCCCCACTAAGGGTCGCCAGAGCTTCACGTGGGGGGTCGTGAGGCCTTGTTGACTTTAAGGAGTGTAAGAAAACTTTAAAAAGATCTCAATATCTCATCATCCTGCATAAAAAAAGTACAGTTATAACAAGCAAAGAGCTAATAGAAGAAGTGTCAGAGAGGAGAAAACACAGAATCTGTCAAAAAAGAAACCTAATAAGTCTGAATGATTGTTAATAAATAAAAACAGTACAGTCTAAAAATATCAGGAAAAACTAATCTCTGATCAATATTGACAGGAAATAATCTGCTCATAATTCATCTAAATGGATCGTTTTACACAAACTCCCTGTAGTTTATTTACTTTTAATATATTGTCTCTTTTTTCATTTTTATTTATATTTTCTATGTTTATTGTTGTACACCAATTAAACAAGGCAAATTCCTTGTATGTGCAAACCTGCTGGGCAATAAACCTGATTGTGATTCAGTTATTGTTATTGTTTTACATTGAATGTAATATAAAACATCCATAAACTATGTAATGTAGTCAGGAGTCTGCAGCGTTGGGAAACACTGGCCTCAGCACCGAGGGATTCACGTTCACTCACCAGAGAAGGAGTTGTCTGCAAAGCGGAGCAGAAGGCTGCTTTTCCCCACATCTGAGAGAGAAACAGATCAGAGGTGACCAGATTAGCAAGTAACTCACTTTGAGGAAATGAATGTGACCAATCAGGAAGAGAAAAGCCAGTTAGGGCTCGATCTAGTGCCAGAAAGAAAGAGAACAAACATCCACCCGGATCCTGACAGCCTCTTTCAGGTTATGTCATAAAGTACACAATGAAGGGCCGGAGAGCAAAAGTGAAACAAAGCCAGGAATAAGGGCAAAGGTTGAGCTCGTACTGGAAACGATGACTGAAAAAAATCCTTAGGAAACCGGAGTCAGTGTTCAAATGAGACCTGACAAACCAGAGTGAGTCAGCAGGAGGCCGAGGAAGGACAGTTTAACTCCCAACTATCACAATATTTAGCCCAAACTGCTGCAGAGCCGTTGCATTAATGTGGTACAAAGCCTGAATGTGTGCAGGCCAACAGCCTCACTGATGCAGCAAGAAGTATAAAAAGCCCCGAGGCTGCAGGAGAAACATCCTGATTCATCACAGTCAGTCACAGTACCTCAGTACGGAGGCCCAGAGGTGGCAACAGGCTGCCTGACAAGTCTAAGCATTTATGAGTGCATCGATAAATAACAGCGGGTTCAGTCATTAAAAGGGTTTGTTGGCACACGAGCGGGCAGGCCCGGTTCAACCGGATCACAGGCAAAGCTTGTGGGAACCAGAAAGTGAAACCTGCGTTCTTAAAAACGACTGATGTCCTTTATGTTCTGAGAGAAAGTATGTTTAAGTTTTTTTAATGAACATTTGAAGAGTTGGAGCTGGTTGTTGTTGTTGTTGTTGTTGTTGTCAATAAACGGAGCTATGAAATATTAAATCATCCATTTTGTTGCTACATGTTGGTATTTCTTGCCATCGGGAGGTAAAAACTCCAGGTTGTGAATATATTTATTATTATTTTTAAAAAGTGAAATTATCAGTTATGTTCAGAGAAATAATAAAAATGTTCTGATTGTTTTAGAGAGCAGATAAACATGTAGTAACTCTGCTGTGTCAGTGCAGTTTTTGTGCAGAATTCGAACTATTTGAATGTGTAAATTGTACATTTGTAGAAATAAAAATCAAACATCCTGAAACATCTTCAGAGGTGAATTTTGGGGCGACTGAGCTTCCATCCTCACTGCTGGTTTACATGGGGGGGGGGGCTCAGTAGTGTATCTAGCTTTTACAATGGACAGCACAATGAAATCTAATAACTGTATAAAAATAATTCACTGCGGGGAAGAAGGTGATCTACGGTGACTCAGCACTTCCTGCAGCAGGTCTAAAACTCAATCACGTTCCCAATGTGACAGAACCGGCTAGAAAACAACCGGCGCTGCACAACAACCTGATGTTTGGGGACTTCTCACCAATAAAATGACAAGAGTCTGAGGTAAATAAGAATCTGTGTCTGTGAGTGAGTCACAGTTGATAAAATTCCCCGACTTCAGACGAGGTGAAGATAACGTCTGAATACCGAAGCTCTAACGTCCAGAACGGAGAAGTCTGGAGCTGCTTTGAGAAACAGTTCCTGCAGTTTGAAACTTGCTTTGAACAAACACGACTGATGCAATGTGAAGCAGTTTGTTTGGACAGCGAGACGGTGGGCGGTTTCATATCTGTGCAAACGGTGCGTTCACAGGCTCCTCCACACTGAGCTTCTCCTCCCCTCTCTACACAACACTGTACGGCTGCAGCTAACAACACAAAACTGACATTAACTGATGCAGAATCAGTGTTTACTAAAGGCAGAGGCCACCAGGTTACAGTCAGAGAGGACTAAAGAAACCAGAATATATTCACATCTGAGAAGCAGAAATTTAGAGAATTTGAACATTTCTTTCTTTAAAAATGACTCAAACTAAAGTTGGCAATTAATTTAAAAGCTGATGACCAACTGAGCTTCTGCAACAATCAGGATTAATTATCCTCAAAGCAGCAAACACACGTTCAACAGGAGACTTACTGTTTAAAGGATCTACAGGGGAATATTTAGGTGTGTTTGTTCAATTAGCAAAATATTGGGAACCTTTATAAAGCTCCATGTTACACTTATCTAATGTTACAGACAGGTGGATGGAAATATATCTGAAACTTATAGTTACTATAATATCTCAGTAGCGGGTATCATATCACCTAGTACTATATACGTATTCATATATACTACGCCTACTAATACTAGTATATAATATAGTTACTATAATATATATAGTTACTTAAACCAGTGTTTTAGAGAGAAACTAAAGTTAAATAAGTTATAATTTGTTTGTTTTTTGTGTCTAAAAATCTGGTTTAACTTGCATTTTATTATTAACAAACGGCTTGTTTAATGTTCTTGATATTATTATTTCAATAAAAATCTACTTTACTTCTGTTACTAGTCTCCCCGGCTGCACCGGCCTCCTGTGAGTCAAAGAGCGGACTTTAAGATCCGATTACTGCGTCTATAAAGCACTAAAGTGTCCCCCAGAGAGGAAGCTCTACCGTTAGAAATATAATATTCATAGGTTTGTTTTCATCAGTGATTAATCACCTGAGTTATCTTTGAATGAGACGTTTTAATCTACAGAGGCTGCAGGTCGTCTCTTCTACAGGAGCCCAGAAGGGACAAACCAAACACTGACTCTAGACAGGAGCTTCACACTTTCCGTAGTTTCTCCTGAACGCCAACGAGACGCCATTAAAATCTGACACACGTCACCGTTTACTGCGGCTTCCACAATATCGGTTTTTATCTTTTTGTAAATATTTATGTGCTTTCTTTTAATGTATTTCTATATTTAATTGATTTTCCACTTTGTGTCTAAATGGTGCTGTGAATAAAAATGTACTTTAAATTAATTTCTGGGCCAATAAAAGCTTCTGAAACCACGACTTCTCCCATTGTTGTCACTTCTGGGCCTCCATACACACACGCTGCCTTCATATTGAATCACAAACGAATGAAAAAGCACTGACTGGAGTCTCCAATGATGAGCAGCTTAAAGAGATGATTGTAGTCTTTCCCCGCCATTTGTGTGGCCTCTTACTGAATCCCCGAGTAAAATCAGTTTTATAGGAGGAGGAGGAGGTGATTTCCCCCCCGACCTCCCCAGTGTTTGCGTTCGGTTCCTCCCAACGCTACGAGCTCAGAGCAGCACGACACTTTGTCCAGAAATCACAGGCGTTCCCCTGCCACCAGCGACAGGACATTTCCAGCTGAATTCCTTTTTCCAGTTTTGGGTTTTTATCCAGTTCAGACGTTCACATCGTTCTCTGCCGTCTCAAGAGGCGCTGCGTTTATGATTCATGCTTCGAGGGCCGAGAGCGAGCGCATGGTTCCACCTTAGTTCCAGTTCAACCCCGGTGACGATTCCTGCGGGGGATTTCCAACTGGTGGCGACTCACAGATCATTGATCTCTTATTGGAAGCGTTTTGTGGTTATTGCTCCGGCAGCCAGATGGATGTGAGCTGAGAACGGATCATAAATCCAGTTATACTGCCAGTTATTGCCCTGAGCTCCTCCACTGCTCACTCTTTAACTCCATCCCTTTTGTCTTTTCTTATTTTTTATAAAGAAGTGAGAAACTGAGACGTTCCTCTTTTTCTCTGCAGGTCAGTAGTGGTTACATCCGCTGAGGTTTCCTTTAGGCTGATCCCTTGATTTCACTTCAGTTCCTCTGGCGGTCGGCTAAAGAGTCACCTGTTCCTGGTTTCATCACGTGAGGAGGGCTCTCGCTCGGCTTCTTCAGCCCAGGTTTAAAAGGAGCTGGACACAGAAAGAGGAAGTTATAAGAAGTTAGATCAAAATCATCAATCAGAGATCAATCAGGCAGCTCATTACTGTGATTGTCAGTGACACTGCAATGTGTGTGTGTGTGTGTGTGTGCCCCTCCTTACCTCCCTCCCTGCTCCTCAAACAACAGCTGAGTCACTAAATATAACTTCCTCATCCTGCTTTATCCACCCCCATCCTAAAAACATAGCTGTGTTAGCTGTTAGCAGCACCAGAAGCTGTCTAACAGCAGGGAAACAGTGGAGCTGGACACAGTTTTCCATGAAAACAGGAAAAGCTGCTGCTGGCTTTGAAAGTCACTAAAGGGACCTTGCTAATGTGAGCTAATCTACACAGACGGGAGCACCGATCTCCGTTTAAAAAACGTGTAATTTAATGATTCTTTGTATATCAGCAAAGGTAAAACACCTTGTACGACCCATTTTATATTTTTATTTTATCTTAAATTAGTCATCAATCAATTCGGCTTTGCTTAAATCCCCCCAAAAGCAATTGTTTAAATATCCAATATGTCATCTTTTGCATGCAAAGACTGGAGCACCGATCTCGGCTTAAGAAACTTGTAATTTAATGATTATTTGTATGTCAGCAAAGGTAAAACACCTTGTACGACCCACTTTACATTTTTATTTTATCTTATATTAGACATAAATTAATTCGGCTCAGTTTAAATCCGCCAAAATGCATTTGTTTCAATAAAAATATAAAATTTGATTATTACTTTTTTGGCCGTTTGTGCTCGACTTCAGCTATGCGTTTAATGGAGGGTAGCTAAATGAATCCCTAAAAGTTTAATTAAGTACATAATTGTACATCTACTTAAGACGAAATGTAGTGCATTACCTACAGTTTGAGAAAATATCTTACTTCGTGTGATACGAGGTGCGAGCGCATACCGATAGAGAGGCAGATGCGTTTTTTCACAGATTTTGAACGTAGTTTGGCGTAGAGCGTTTCCAGTCGGTGACGACAGCTACCGGTCAACCAGAAACCAGAAGGACATCCACGGTACCGGTCCAACGGGGGGTCGACAGTCACTGAGACTCACCTTCATTAATGTGGCTGGAGCCGAGCCGTTACAGCAAGTGTGACAGTGACCGACAACTCACACTGAGCGACACGTGCTGGCTGTAAGAAGGCGTTATTCCAAACTACACTTGAAAAGCACTCATTTTTCAATAATCCGCTGTAATGATGCCACGCGTAAGTTTTTACTTACTGGGATGTTAATGTGATTTACAACTTAAAGGATTTTCTACAATTCGGCGCAAAATTTCGGGCGTGTCCGACCGCAGAACCGCAGTTTATTTCAGTTTTAACCCAGGTTTTAGCTGCTCCTGCGCCGTACGGTCGGTGCCACTGCACGATCGGTGAAAACAGCGAATAAAGTCAAAATATCTTTAAATTAAACGCTGAACTTTACAACCGGAGTCACAAAGACACCGTGACAAATCACGACAACGTGAACTGGTGTTGGATAAAGATGCGTACGGTGGCTCAAAAGCGAGAACAGTTTAAAAACCTCCAGATTGTGGATCCAGTCTGGAGCGACGGGTTGTGGGCCCGACCCCGGCCTGACGTCGGGAAACTTCACTCCTTGGAGAAACTTTTGAAAACAATCCTTTAATTATTTGTTTGTTTTGAACTTACTTTGGTGATGTTGGTGCAGTTGGGGCTCCGTCGGGGGGTCATGGTGAGAGATCCGCGGTTAGACGTTGTTTTCGCCCCGGTATGGGTCCGGTAGCTGCGCTGTCTCCGGTCGGACCGTCTCCCCGACCGACCACACCTGACTGTCTGCAGCTGATGACCCACTCTCATCATCTCATGCTGCCTTCACGTCATGTGGGAAAAACCGAACCTCCGTCCAACCGCTGTGCGCCAGCTCAAGGGCCACTGCTGCTGCTGGATAGGGTTAGTTTGTTTTAGTTTGTTTTAGTTTATGAAGGGTTAATTCCCGCCAATGTGACCCCAACACAGATTCTGTAAGGCATTGTTTCTATTTTGAGATATTAAGTTAAAATATTGACATTTCTCAATATTCTGAGATACTATATAATTATCCTGAGATACTAAGTCATTACTATAAGATACTAAGTCATTATTATGAGATATTATTTAATTATTTTTAGATAATAAGTCAATATTTGGCATTATTCTGAGATAATAAGTCATTATTATGCATTATTATGGAATACTAAGTCATTATTTTGCATTATTATGAGATAATAAGTCATTATTCTGAGATGTTACGTCAGAATCTTTTTGGTTTTCATCATACTAACTGAAATGGGAAACAAGAATAAAGAAAAACACAAAAGCAAACAGGGTACATAACTAATGTTGTGGTCAATAAATTCATTCTCAATGTCTGAAGTCCTTTTAACTACTATTAGATAGATAAGTTATGACAGGTTGATTATGACCAGTGTACTAAGGCATTACTAGTAATAATATTACAGTAATACTATATTACTTTCCCCAGTAACTAGTAGTGTAATCTACATTACTTTGATTCTAACAAACAAAACTGGTTGAGCTTCAACCAAAAACATTTTTGTGAGATTTCTGTGAAACCAACAGACACACCTAACACTGATGTCACCATCCCAGTTTCAACATAGCAGCAGCTGCAGAAACCAGCGTCCGGTCACAGTTAGCGTTGAGTAATCTTCCCGTCCGTACAGATTGAACCTTCACACAGGGAACATCTGACACTCTGATCCAGGGGTAAACATGTGGCTTCATTTTTCATATGTGGCCTCAATTCCTTCATCATGAATATCGGATATATTCTGGAAGGTTTCCTGGACCGGTGGGTCAGAACCTCCACTAGGGGTCGCCGAAGCTTCACAGAGAGATTATTTAATATACACATTAGACTGATATATCTATAGAAGCTCATTTCTGCCGGTGTGACGGGGTTAAAAAAGGGATTCTGTAAGTTATGAGGAACTTTTTGAGAAGCTAAGTCAATATTTCCAAGAACAGCTGTTAGTATTTACTGTTAGTAATGAAAGCAGCATAAAAAAGTAAATTAACTGTAAAACCAAGCCTCCAGCTATAATAAAACAATGGTGGGGTATTGTCACATTGCACCTTATACAGGGGCAACCTTGTTAAACTATAGAAGAACAATAGAGGGGCCGTTATTGTTCTATATTCCTGTGTAAAGTGAGGATCTGATGGATTGATGACATTCATTTAACAGGATGTTCAATATGTTTATGGTGACCGTGTAAAATAAAAACAAAGAGAATAATTTAAAAACTGTCTCAAAGCAAGCGGACGGACAAATTCCACACAAATAAAATGTACAATTGCTTTTTATTATTATTAACCATTTCCAACAAAGAAATTATCCACGTTTCAGTTTCTGCTCACATTAAATGGAAATCGATTATCTGTTACATGATAATAACCAAAATACAGACAGCTCATATCTACAGGTAGAACGCAACCAACGGTACAGGTAGAGAGGGACGTTGTTAGAGTATTTAACTGAGTGTGTGTGTGTGTGTGTGTGTGTGTGTGTGTCTTATTCAGCTCATAAAAAGAAGAAATGTACAAGCCAGCCTCCGCTCATCGTTGCTGTAAAAAACAAGCGCGCTGCTGATCGGCTGGTCGGCGGCTCAGAACCGAAGCGAGTCCGCTGACGTTCACAGACGTACATCTACTGGGCTGCTGGCTGTTGTAGTCCGCGTTGTAGTCCGCGTTGTAGTCCATTTCAAACCAGCTGGAGGTGAACAGGAAAAAGGAAAACAAAAACAGAAACACAGAAGGAGAAGAAGTGCAGCGCCTGAAGAGGTCAACCTCATTTCTTCCGCCTGCTGCTTGACGAGCGGCTCGGTGACGGCCTGCTGCCGCTCCTGCCGGGGAGGACAAACAGGAAGATCAATTCAAGGCTCACTGCTGGTCCGTTAAATAAACTTTGTGGAAACAAATAAAAAGATAAACATATATTTGATTGAAGGCTTCCAACTTCTGTTATAGATTTATAAAAATCTGACATCTGTACTTTAATCTGCACACCACTAATAACAAAATTAAAAAGGTAAATTTAAATTTAAGATCTATTTAACAAAGAAAAGAAGAAAAGTTTGTATTTGTTCCACGTCGGTTTGGTTTTGTAGTTGTTGCGGGAAGATCAATACGAGTTTCTCCCAAAAACACATTTAAAAGACTGAAAAATGTAACTTTATACAAGTAGTGTTAACTTTATTAATCATTAATAATTCATTTCGTCTGTGTCAGGTACCTTTAAACTTTCATTTTATTAATAACAAGACTTGAAAATAACTTGCTGCTCGCAGTTTTTTAGCTGCTTACTGAGACACTCTGTCAGTTGATAACTTGTAGGTCAGTTAACAAATATCTCTGGGACTTTGAGGACTGAAAATAGAAACGGTGTAAATGTCGTGCAGAGGTGACAGACCTGCGGCTCGGCGAGGGCGGCGCTCTCATGTATCTCGGAGGAGAATAACTGAGTGAGCGAGAATCTCTGAGGGAATCAGCCGGCTCCCTCCCGGACCTGGCGGGGCTGCAGGGAAACAAAAAGTCAGTCAGTCAGAGGCTCCACGCTGCTGCAGCAACGTCACAGTTTTAACCCCAGAAAGAAAAGGATTAATCCTTCAAACTACACGACGCTTCCACCATCTGCAGCGTCTGAGTCAGCGATGGTACAGAATCGGTTTCTGTAAGTGGGAAGGAGGTTTTGTGCAGCCGACCACAGATTCATTCCTGATTCCCTTTATGTATCTGTTGGTACAGCAGCTCTGGTGCCAAACCTCACAGTGACATCAAGTTCTCAGTTCTCTTCTTACCTCTTTTTCTTAGTTTCCTTTTCGTTCTCCGATGAGGAGGATGAGGAAGGAGAGCTTTGAGCCTTGGTCTTCCTGTTAAAACAGTAACAAGAGTTTTCATTAATGAGTTAATTAGTTTATGATTCATTCATAGAAATAACTTCATTAAAACTCTTTCTCCTGCTTACCCTTTTCCTTGCTCCCCTTCGGAGTCAGAGCTGTCTGAAGAGGAGGATGAAGAGGAGGATGAAGAGGAGGATGACGAAGAGGAGGAGGAGCTTGAGCTGCTGCTCCTGCTGCCCTTCTTGTTCCCGTTTGCCTCCTTCCCGTTTACGGCGCTCTCACTTCTGGCTGTTTGGTCTGGTGGTTGGGGGGCCGTCACCGGCGACTGCTTCCCGCTCGAACCTCGTGACGGCTGTTTGGTTTCTGGTCGGCTGCCGGCCGGAGACCTCCTGGAGGTCACATCGGAGCGCCTGGAGTCGGACTGGGAGCCTCTTCTACCTGAGCTGGGTGCGTGGGAGGAGTCTCTGGAGGGAGCCTGTGAAGAGGAGGATCGACCTTTCTGCTCTCTGTCTTTCTCCACCTCCCGCTCCGTTCTTCTGTCTCTCTCCGTTAGTGCTTTGGTGTCTTTCTTCTCTCGCGGCGGTGAAGGTGAGGACGAAGAGGAGGAGGAGGACTGGAGGAAGAGGAGGAGGAAGAGGACCGGTGGGGTTGGGGAACCTCTTTTGGTGGCAAATGCTCCTTTTCCCTTTGTCTCTCTTGCTCTGCCTCCCTCAGCCGGAGCCTCAAATGTTCCCTTTCTCTCGCTCTTTCTCTGGAGAGGGAGCGACTGCTCCTCCTTCGCCGCTGTGGAGACGGAGAGCGACGAGTCCTGGAGGAGGAAAATACAACAGACATTAAAATGTGATCCTTTATAGCAGCAGTGTGACGTTATAAACCCGCCCACTGGTTAAACGTCTGTGTGAAGTTCTTTGTCTTACCTGTTGGGGGGGCTGCGCCTCCTTGGACTTCTGGACCTGGACCTGCTGCGCCTCCTTGGACTTCTGGACCTGCTCCTCCTGGCAACCCGCTCGCGTTCTCTGTCTCTCTCTCTCTCCCTATCCCTATCCCTTTCTCTGTCCCGCTGCCTCTCTCTCTCCCGGTCCCGGTCTGACCAGGCTGGAGGAGGAGAAGCTCTCCTGGCTCGGGTTGGGGGTTCCTGATACTGTCTGGGTGGAGTGCGCCGGGCTGGGGAGATGGTTGAGGTTTTCTGGGGTGGTGGAGAGCGGGACCTCCTGGCTGAGGGACTGGACCTCCTGGCCGAGGGGCTGGACCTCCTGGCCGAG